AAAGCCAACAACTTTGCTGCTGCTGCTGCTGCTGCTGCCGCTGCTGCTGCAGGCAGCTGCGGGACTTAGCAACAGCAGCAAAGCTGCTGCAGGCGTTCTCTGCTGAGGCTCCGCCGCCTCAAGGGCCCCGCACCCATATCGAGGGTGGGTTTAGTGTCTAGGGTTTAGGGTTTAGGGTTTAGGGTTTAGGGTCTAGGGTTTAGCATTTAGGCCCTGTTATCCCGATGGGGCCCAGGTAGACGGGGGCACAGGGTGAAGGGTATAGGGTTTAGGGTTTAGGGTTTAGGGTTTAGGGTTTGGGGTTTAGGGTTTGTGGTGTGTTTGAAGAAGAAATAGACTGGAACAGACCGCCGAGAACGCTGCAGCAGCTACAGGTAACTTGCAGCAGCAGCAGCAAAAACAGCAGCAGCAGCAACCGCAGCAACAGCAGCATTTGGGCAGCTGGCTGCTTATTAGTTTATCTAAGGCACGAGGTTTGCTGGGTTGTATCTAATTCACCCATTGCTGCTGCTGCTGCTGCTGCTCTTGTTGCTGTTGTTGCTGCTGCTGTTGCTGCTGCTGCCAGGATGACTGTTTTGCTGCTGCAAAGGAGACAGGCATTTTAAGCGAAGCCAAAGAAGCAGCTCTTATCGCCAACAGGAAGCAACTGAGGAAGTTGGAGGCCCAGGTAGGGTCTAGGGTTTAGGGCTTAGGGTTTAGGGTTTAGGATTTAAGCTGTAGGGTTTAGGGTTTAGGGTTATGGTTGAGGGTTTAGGGTTTTCTTCAGATGGTGATGCAAGCGCATAATGCGAGGAAGCTGCTGAGGGCCCTCGGAGAAAAGCGGCAGTTGCTGGTACGCCTAAGGGCTTAGGGTTTGGGGTTTAGGGTTTAGGGTTTAGGGTTTAGGGTTCAAGGTTTCGTTTGCCCTCCAGTGTGAAGATACCTTCCCACGTTATGAGCTTTGAGGGTTTATGTCTCATCTCGCTGCTGCTTCTTCTTACTTCCTTTCCTCCTGCAGACAACTTGAAGATTAAGGGTTTAGGGTTTAGGGTTTAGGGTTTAGGGTTGAGGGTTTAGGGTTTAGGGTTTAGGG